TAGGCTCAATTGGAAAAATCTCTGGAATTATACTAGTGATCCTGAACTGACTGCAACAGAGCTGAGTTGGTATTTTAAGATTATTTTTGCATAAATATAAATCTAAGTAAGCTTAGTATAACTCTTGAAATATAGGGGCAAAATGCCTAAATTTCTCTTAAGACTTTTCATGTTTTGTATTGATCAAGGAATTGCTGGACAAAACTTTCAGATGAGTAAGTGGAGACAGATCCAGTGCCATAAGCACTTTCTATCTGCCCTTTTTACTGTGGAATTGATTTCTTTTATTTTTTATTCCTGGCAGTTCGGCTTTAATGACCTCAGAGTGCAATCACTTGATTTTATTCCCAGTCTGTACCTTTTTTTTTTATTTTTCAGTGAAAACTTCACTGAAGTGAGCAGACTTCATGCGTTTCTGCCGATGGTGCGGAGGTGTCACTCGGCGTGCGGCTGGAGGCCTGACGCAGAGCCCCGGGGAAGCTCAGGATTGTGCCCCCTGGAAGAGCGGCCCCTGTTCCCAGTGACTCCGGGGGTACCGGCGCTCCTCCCTCGGCGGGCGGGGCGCAGGCGCGGCCGCGGGAGGCGGTGAATTAAGGGACAAAGTGGTTATCCCGTGAAATGTGTGTCCCGGTGTCTTTAGTGCTCCTTGAGGGCTGCTACTGGGATTGGGTGAATGGGTGACAAAGGAACAAACAGCAAGGCTTAATACAGGAGGAAATGGGATGGAGGGGGACTGCAGACATCATCCCGCTACGTCCCTTACCCATTGTTGAGTAAGTCTGGTCCCTGTAGCTGGACTCGCAAGCCGCAGATTGAAATGAAGATGGAGCTCTGTGTGGGAGCCCGAGACAAGGGGCCGTGAACTGCCAACCTTCGGGATAAGAAAGGGCACGACGAGGGGTGACGTCAGCCAGGTGAATGGACGCGGCGAGACCCAGCAGGATCAGGGAATTGCCGGCCTGTCGGATATCAAAGGAGATGAAGACCAGTGACACCGGCGAGGTGGATGGACAGGGAGAGGAGTGCAGGAGCCGAGATGTGTGCACGGGGAGACTGTGAGGGGATAAAGACCCAGGGGTCCCTTGTGCGAGTATCCTACTCGGAGGTACCAGCTCGAGCTGTTTCTGTGTTACTGCAGAGGAATAAATGGCTTTATAGAACGAGACATCTGAGACTTTGCTATGGACAACCTGGGGTCGAACCGGTAAGGAAACCTGGTCGGGCTGTGTGAGAGGGGGGTCTGTAGGGATGGGTGTCAAGCGGGGCACCCGTCGAGACACTGGAGCCGCCCACCGCGAAGGGGCTTCGATCCCAGCAGTGAAAGCCTCTGGCCTTGGGAGTGTGACTGTCAGATAGCTGTGAATGATCAGACCGGGAATTTACCTTAATACCCATGACAGACTCAGAAGTTACTTTCCAGTAAATGTGGTTGTCAGCACCGACATGGGAGTCTACAAGCGTGCGCACTCACTATCTGTATGAAAACGTGGTACAGAAAGCAAAATATTTTGTGTTGGTAAGTTGAGAATCATTCTCAATATGGTACTGGTACAGTCATGCCCCTAGGTAGTGCAGATGCCATATGATTTGGGGGTGATGCCATGGTACGGGAACCTAGCGTATTTGGCTAATGGAACACCTTGCCAGAACACTCTTTGCTGAGAGATGGCAAAAAACCCTAATTCAAACGAAGGAACACATTTCACTATGATTAGCAGTGAGAATATTGCAGTGTGACAGTGCCACTTTTTAGAGAGACACTTCAGCCCTTTGAAATATTTTTTTCTCCTTTATCACTAATAATGGTACAGATATCAAAACCTTCATTTTCCTTTGCAGAATGAGTCTTCACAGCTTTATCATATGTGTTTGCTACTGGCAGTGTTCTCTTACACCACAGTAACTGATGTACGGTCACTTTCTTTAGCTGATTAGTGTATTAACAGTGTTCTGTTTTTTCAGACCTGATCTCTAGAAAGAAGAGCTAAATTAATAATACACAATAAATAGATGGAAAAATACCCTTTTGCTGAAATGACAGCTAAGTAGATTCAGATTGCAAAACCTAAAATCTAGTAGTATTGGGAAGTTACTAGTAGTAACCATTTTGAGAGTATCTCTGTAATCAGGCTGACCATTTAATGGAGAAAAGAAGAGCAAAATACATTTTTAATCTGGATATATTTGTTTTCTTCCAGACATCTTAGAAGAAAGGCAAGTTTTTATTTACGAGATGGCAGCGTGGAGTAAACACAAGACATCTCTATGCTCTTCTCAGAAGGAAGTATTGCATCTCAAGTCCTTTTTTAAGTGGACGCATGCTTGTTCACAAATAGTTTTGGTTTTACAGGTCACTCCCCGGCCCAAGATCAGGAGACCCTA